ATAATCTTCTAAAGGTTATGTTTATGTTGCTTGGTGTTGTCCCCGCCATTTCGCTCTGATCTACTTTCTATTCTTCATCTTCTGCTTTATCTTCCGCATTTATTACGTCATCCAGCGAAGCTATATCACTTTCTGGGAGCCGTAAAGCATTAATTATTGCACTGGTGTCCTTTTGATCTTTGATCCCGTCCGCTTGATCCTTAACGATATTGCTTGTTTCTGGGTTGGTCACCTACAAATAGCAAAAGGAAAATATTTATAATTTAATTGGAGTATTCGTACGAACTGGAAAAGATCTCGGGAATCTCGAAATTATCGAATCTTTTATATACATATATGTATATGTTTGTATAAATGTATGTATATGTTGGATACATTAACATTTTTGCAAGTATGGTTTAAGATACTCTACTTTAAATTTCACTAACCGCTGCTTTTTGATCCAGTTCTTCTAGTTCATGAAATGCCTCAGCCAAGCCTGGATGAATCTCGCTTAGCGGCTGATTACCTTCGCGAATATAGACCGGTATATGTCCAGGACGTGGTGGTAACTCTTGATAAGGAGCAGCATCTGGAAATAATAAAAATTTCATTTTTAATTCCTCCATTTAGCCTATGCTTCGCTGCACTGAATCTTAAATCTTAGGAAATGCTGTGTTGTTAAAAATTTTACCAGTACAAATATTTGCCTTTTTTTTTAAAGAAGGATGGATATACCTAAACGTCAAAATGTAAACTACAAACAATTTTTATACCCGAGCCCCCATAAATGATCAGAATGAAAAGAGCAGTCGATTAAGCCATGTCTGTCTGTCCGTCCGTCTGGCCCACACCGGAACATCGAAATTCGTCGGAAATCAGAATTTTCCGAACAAAGACGAAAGTCTTTCAATATCACTTAAAGAATTCGGAACGATTCCCCACCGAATTTTTCGGAAATCAGCCTTTTCTGAACAAAGTTGAAAGTATTTCGTTCTGACTAAACGAATTCGCAACTGTTTCGTAAAGAGGAAGACGAAAAAAATTTCGAACGCATTGAAAGGGAAAACGCAAAAAGAATAAAGCTGAAATTAGTCGAGAACGCAGAACGTATACTTAAACGCAGTCTGTATACGCAGAATTTTGTGGATTACTGGAGCCCTCAGTGTTGCTTACCACACTGTTGCCACTCATCAATGCATTTTCATAAAGTTACCCTTTCTACTACAATTTTTCGTGCTATAATAGATTTTAGCTAAATATAAACTACTTAGTTTTCATCAAAAACGTTATTCAATAGTAAATTTCAAATATGTTAGATATATTTTGAATAGGATCTTATATCTTTTTTACCATCTGTAAAACTGACGAAGTGGCAACCATCTAAAGAAGGAGAAATCAGCTGACACGGAAAAATGTAAATTCCGCAGATTTCTGCGCTACGGGCTACAACTACAGAAAAATTCTGCGGTGTTGAGTTTTCATTTACATGGCGCTTTGGTAAGACAGATCGTGTCAGCTGACTCGGGTTTACGAACCGGTAGGTTTACGTTCTTGACTAATTTCAGCTTAATTGTTGTGGGTAGTAAAGTGAAATTAAAATAAAGTGAAATTAAAATAAAACCCCTAAAAGACAAGCAGAAACATTTTTTAATTCTATTTTAAATTGAGAAATTGAGGATCGTACTGAAAACGTAAAAAAATATTAAGAAGCCATTAATCGCCAAGTTATATTTTTTACGCAATTGGAGCATCAACTTCCGTCATCTATGGACTCTACTGCTGGAACTACCGAACAGCTGGCATGTGAACTTATGTTTTTAATAAAAGAGATACAGCGACAGTTAAGAAGTCTCAAAATTTAAATTTAATTGGCTATAAAATCGTATATACATATGTATCTGTAAAATCTTTCCCTCGTTATTTGTTTAGATAATCAAAATTTGTTAGAAATGCTAGTTAATCAAAATAAGGAATAAATTTCGCCACTTAATCAGATTTTAGATCCATTGCAGAAAAAAAATACACAGAATTTGTTATTGTTTTAAATTTTTGCACTGTTAAAGTTAGATTTTTTTTAATTTTTTAATAAAAAAAAAAACAAAAAATTTGAATTGCTTCGTAAGATGTACGTGATTAAGTGGAACCACTTTTTTGTAGCTGGATAACGGTAAATTGCAAATATGTATATCGAAAACTTATCCATAAAAAAAATTAACTCGATTTTCGAAATCAGCGAGAAATTCTTCATAGAAATTGCATAGTGTGGCATTCGGTGTGCGTTTTTCTGTAAATCAGTGTACTTAATTCACGGTGGAGTTTTAAAAACGTCATACAAATTTTCGTAAAAATTATAAAAGCCTTATAATGATTCTTCTTCTTCTTGTTTGGCGCCGTAACCGCCTAAGCGATTTTGGCCGAGTTCAACAAAGCACGCTAGTCGTTTCTCTTCTGTGCCAACTGACGCCAAATGGAAATGCCAAGTGAAGCAAAGTCCTTCTCCACCTGATCTTTCCGCAGTGGGGGCCTCCCTTCCTCTGCTACCACCAGCGGGTTCCAATTTGAATACTTTTAGCGCTGGAGCATCGGTGTCCATTCGAAGGACATGGCCAAGCCAGCGGAACCGCTGTATTTTAATTCGCTGCACTATGTCCATATCGCTGTAAAGCTCATACAGCTCATAGTTCTATCGTCTGCGGTACTCGCCGTCGCCAACGCGTAAAGGCCCGTAACTCTTCCGCAAAATCTTTCTCTCGAACACTCCAAGAGCCGCCTCATCGGATGTTGTCACTGTCCATGCTTCTGCGCCATATACCAGAACGGGCGTGATGAGTTGCCTATTCAGTCCAAGGTAGGACTTGTTGGTAAGAGTGATTCTGCATTGGATTTCCATGCAGACAATATTATCGGTGTTAATGCTGTTAACCAAGTAAACGAAATCCTCTACTTTCTTGGAATTATAACTGCCAACAGTGATGTGGGTGCCGAAGCGCGAATGTACTGACTGTTTGTTTGATGACAGGAGGTATTTCGTCTTGTCCTGGTTTACCACCAGAATCATTCGCAGTGCTTTCTTATTCAACTTGGAAAAGGCAGAACAGACTTCGCGGTCGATATCATCGGCATACACCAGCACTTGCACGCTCTTATAAAATATTGTTCCAGAGCGGTTAAGTTGTGAAGCTCTTATTATCTTCTCCAACATCAGTGGCCCTGTCTGAAACCCTGTTTGGTGGCGAACGGCTCGGATAGGTCTTTTGAAATTCTAACGGAGCTGGTGGTATTGCTCAACGTCATTTTACACAGCCGTATCAGTTTGACGGGGGTGCCAAATTCGAGACATAGCGGTATACAGGCAACTCCTTTTTGTGCTGTCGAAAGCGGCTTTAAAGTCGACAAACAGATGGTGGGTGTCGATCCTTTTCTCGCGGGTCTTTTCCAAGATTTGGCGTATTCTGAATACCTGATTTATGGTGGATTTGCCAGGTCTAAAGCCACACTGATGAGGCCCAATAAGTTCGTTGACGGTGGGCTTCAGTATTTCACTCAATCTATATATATAAATGTGAATGTCTGTTTGTTTATTACTTTATAACTTTTAATTTTAACCCACCGGCTCCCGCCTGAAAGTATCGTTTTGACCCATATTTTAAGAAACTCCACAAAAAGCAAATTTGGAAGGTCGTTAGAGGATTGCCACAAACATAAAAGTCTCTATTTAATTAAAATAAAAAAGAAGGAATAACAGCCAAACTCAATTTACATTTTTTTTATAAAAAAAAAATTAAGGTTTTTTGTTGATTTTTTATTTTAATTTTTTAGAAACTTTTTCGTTGGTAGCATGAAGCATTTGCCTGAGCGCACCCCTATTTTCAACTTTAGTTAGCAACTTTTCACTCTAAGCTAGAAATTATTCCTTTTCTCGGCTTTCAGTCTAAGGATGAAAAGTAAAAATTCTGCAAAGGTAATGCTCATCGCGCATAATCTTGCTACATACGTTAAAGTTGGATTGACCGTAAGCATATATGAGTGTTTTATTTAACTTTAGGCAAAAGTGAGTAATGTGTGTAGAATACGCTATGAATAGTTTAATACCTAAGCACATACGCGTATATGTACATATGTCCATATTTGTATACAAATACAATAGCTGCTATGTATATTTGTTCACATCTGTATGCTCGCATAATTCTTCCGATGCTTCTAGTAATTGTTCTTATATCCACACAT